ATGATCTTACTATCATTAGAATCATCTCAATCTAAAGAACAACTTTTGTTAGTACATGAAAGTAGGTTTACTAACACTAAATCTAGTTATAATATAATTTTTATTTTTTACTATAATAATAGCGGAGATCATCATGTGATCACGTGAATTTCAGCATCATCCAATTTCACGACATTAATTGATTCTAACTTTATGCTCTAAGTTAACTTATTTAGCACTAAAAAATATTTTAAATTGTTTATTTTATTTTATCTTAGAATCAAAGAAAAGATGTTTAATTTTAGATTTTGATTAAAATTTTAATCAAAATTTCAAAATTAAACATCTCTTTAAATTTTAAAAACAATAAAATAAAATATATCAATTTAATGTATATTTTGGTGTTAATCAAAATTTACTTAGAACACAAAATCATAATTCATTAATAATATTTTGAATAATACAAGATTTTATAAATTTTTATTAATAAAAAATATAGAAATGATGAATTACTCAAACTTTTACTAATTGATTCTAACTTCATGTCCTAAGTAAAAATGTATAATATTAACAAACTCAAACTAGTTTGCGAACTTCGGACCCAAACCCGAACAAAACTTAAACTTTATTAAAATTTGATTCGAAAATCAAACCAGACTCAAATAATGTTTGATTCGAGTTAGGAGCACTAAATTTACATATAATAATGTAGGTAAAGTTAAGCACAAACCTGTATAGCAATTTTGCCACAAAGGCTAATTGCTGCAATGTTGCCAAACTGAAACAGAGAGAAAAAAGAGATTGTTTGAAGGTCGGAATAGTGCTCCTGATGTAAATTTATTTAATGTTGTATACTTATGCAAGCATTGAGCAATTGGTTTCATCGATCAGTGAAACCATTGCTTTTTAAAATATGAAAACTTTTTCCTATGATCAAATTAATAGCACTGAATGTTTATGCATAAAGTTCAATTCGTTTTCTTAGAATGTAATTTCATTGATATTTTTGGTTGCATACAAAATGGCTGATTTTATTATTATGCGTTAAAACTACTCAGTCTCAAGGTTCTCGATATGTTAGGCTTACTAAATATGGTTTATTTTGTAAAAAATATTTTGTGAAAATAATCAAAAAAAAATCGAATGATATCAAAAAACCATTTTTTCTGATTAAAAGGAAATTCATGTTGCGAATAGCTACAAGTGTAAGATTATTAAAAAGAATCACAGGTCGAATTTTAAAATTTCTAGAACATTTCTGAGAGATATCAGACGTTGATATATCAGTTAACTACCCGATTTTTTGTGCGTATTTCCACCTATCAGAAGGATGTCGGTTCCGATAAATATATTAGATATCTGATACTTCTATCAAAAAGTATTGGATATCTGATATGCCTATAAATGCGCAACAAAAATCAGTTAGCTACCAAACATATTGACGTCTGATATTCTGATCTCTCAGAAGTGCTATAGAAATTTTAAAATTCGACCTGTGCTGCTAACACAATTTTTCTAATTTTTATTTTTTTTGACCAATTGTTCATTTTGCTGTGTCATCCGATGAGACTTAATTTACCTGGAATTACTCAATAGTTCTGATAAAAAAAATCCGACCCGCCTTAGAATTTTGAAACACGAGGTTATGCGAAAAATTAATTTCGTGTGGCCTAAAGTATTGCTGATCAGTTTTTGCAAGGGCTTTGTGATTTACGCTATATAATTGAAAGACTGAGCTGAGCCTGATGTGTTGTCGATTGTTATCGATCAAAAGGGTTAAATTAGAAAAAGAATCATAATGAAGTTGCCTTTTCTCTTAGCAGCACTCATATGGAGTGTGCTCTATTTTGAGATCATGAATACTATTTTTAAGGAAAACGCTTTTCTAAATAACATCAAGCTCATTATTTCATGAAAATACGGTAAAAAGTTTATAAGATGTCTAAGTTTTTGATAATCCAAATTTTGCTTAACATCGGGAAAATTTTTTACATCACGCAAATTTGCAAAATTTATATCATATGAAAAAATTTGTAAATCTTCAAACCGGGTGGCTATTTTCAAAATTTTGTTTTTGCAGATTTGCACAAAAAATTTTTTCCAATGCTGTAAAAATCTGTTTTCACAGAATATTGCAGAACTGAATAGAAAAAATTTTCCCGATGTAATATTAGATTTGATCTTCTTTGTTATATAGTTGTGCTAATTGCCAAATTATAATAGTTGACGTCAATATTACTAAATTGTGGCTTTATTGCGGTAATTAGTAATAGTTAACGATTGAATTCAAAAAAAGAAATTTCAACAATAATTGTTAATAATTTAATAATTTCCATTGTAAGAAATTTCCTTTTTTGAATTCTACCACTAAAATGATGAATGATGAAATGTTTATCATTTGTAATTAACAAATGACGAAACCATTTTATCATATGTCTGACGAATGACGAAATCATTTTATCATATGTCTGACGAATGACGAAATGTCTGTCATTGAATAATTGCACGTTTCATTAGATAAAACCATTTCGTCATTGCAAAAAGAGCCTCGCCAAGATACAATTTATTGCATATATCAATTTCTAGATTTTATATGATTTTGGAAACCATCAGGCTGATTCAATACTGTATGCACGTACATGAAAGTCTTGAGTTTAAACAATTTCGTTAACGGTATGTGTTCAGGGTTAAAATTGATAACGATAAATTATACGTATAATAGGTAAATATTACTATATTACTATTCTTTGCTACGTTCTAGACAATAGCGATGTTGATATTTTTGAATTACGTGGTGATCATTAATAATTCGAATTAATAAAAATACAAATAGTTTTTTATTCTAAAAAAAAAAAAAACCAAATATTTGGTAATGTTAAACGAAATAAACTATCGCTACCAAAAGTAAAATAAATAGTAAAAGTACATTGATATATATAGCAACTCTCCAATTGCAATTTGCTGGAGCATAGAATAATATAAAAAATATCCCGGATTAGGGAAAAGTTGTATTTATATGATTACTTAGAATCAGAAAAGACTGTATTTAAAGAAAATTTATTAAGAGAAAGTGCATTTGAAAGTATTGTAATCAATATTTATTTTTTTTCCTTTGCAACAAGAAGCTACGATAAAATTAAATTAAATCATATATGTTAAACTCAACATTACAACCCACAAACTCAAAATAGTGCCCATTAATATATTATTATCCTTATAAATACTGGCGGATGATACCGATACTACGGCCTTTTGAGGAGATGTACCGGTAACTGGAGATGGAGTAGAGGTGGGTGCCGGTGTTGACACTTGTTGAGCAACTACTCCTCCTGTTGTTACTGTTGTTGTTGTCGCTGGGTTTGTCGACACTTCTTGAGCCTCTACTCGTGCAGCTGTTGTTACTGTTGTTGTTGTTGCTGGGTTTGTCGACACTTCTTGAGCCACTATTCCTTGATTTACAGCTGTTGTCGTTGCTGCTGTTGATATGGCTTGAAGCACTACGGGAGAGGCATTTTGAGTTGATGTTGTTGTCGTTTGACTGGAGCAGAGTTTTAGAAAAACTATTAGAAATAATAGCAAGATTAAACGAGTCCTGCTTAAATACATGTTGGAATTCATTTATTATTATTATGGCAATTATTATAACGACTTTTCAAGTTTTTTGAACTTTGGAATCCAAAGAGGCCTTTTATACAAATTATAAGATTTGTGACATTATAAATTAAAAAATATCCAATTATCTAAAATTGAACAAGTCAAAACCAATTTAAAAAAGCCATATAAATCCATACATTATCAGCAATACGTATTTTGACATCATATGCATATAATGATTATAACTGATTTATTATTCATAATCGGATTCATTTAACGATATTAGGATGGTTTATTTTCTACAGTATTCTCGTCAGTCTTCTTACTACTGTCGACTATCTGATCATGTGAAAATCAAAAATTGTTCTGTTGAGTAACATAAGGCGTCCTTATTGTAATTATTATCAAGAATTTTTAAAGTTAGCAGAATTATTATTATATAAGAGGATCTTTAACCTTATATATATTTAGGCAAGGGCGTCAACTACTAATTACTAATTTTGGAGACGCTTTAAATATCTCATCTTCCTAATATGTCAGAATTACATAAATAACTAGAAATATATGATCAACAACGGGCAAAGATGGGCTACCGTGGGTTTCTTAAAATTCCTTCGTAAGGTACACAAGCTTCAAATCTATTTCATGCAAAATATCTTTATTTTAATTTATTTTTTTTTCATTTCCTTATTTGTAGTTTTGAGATTGTTAATCGATTCCTTCTTAATGCATTCGTTTGTCTGTATAGTGTGTTGACATTTTATTTAAAATTTCCATATAAATCATCAGAGGTACACATCAGTCTATCTTTGGTCAGCGCCTAGCAGGCTTATATAACAATAATAACACTATCAACGATTTCTGCAGTACGTGCGTACGTATTTCGTTCGAAGATAAAAAAATTATCTGAAAAAAATTTAAAATTATAATTCGTTTAGAATATTCATTGCAACTTTCATATAATTAAATTTATTCGAAATTTGTGCAATTACATATATTTTTAATATAATATAAAATTAAAATTGCGACTTACAAAAATATTTTTAGTGTAATTGCGGTTTTGCACCTTCACATAATAATAGTGGAAAATGAACTGATTATTTTATTTGTCTGTTGAGAATTGATATTATGATTATGATTATGATAAATATAGTAAACACGTATTTGTATGCTATGCTATGCATCAGCTCTTAATTTTTTTAGTTTTGTAGGGCTAATTATTTTGTAACCATCATTTTCAACATATATATTTCAATTTCTTCAAATATATACATATGTAGAAGATATGGATTAGTGTCTATTATTTGAATGCCCTGGGTCTTTAGTACGTGCCTATTCTATATTTAATTCTTCGCCTTATTTGCTGTACTCGCCCTAGTTTATTTGATCACGGGTAAACTACCAAAGAAGTGGCTGTGCGCAAAACTAGGAACGTATGATCTCAGTTTTACATTTAAACTAACTTCAATGCTACTTAACTAAAACGTGCCAAAATTGCAGTATTAAATTACGTCATTCAAATTAACCTTTGTTTTTTTTAAAGAAAACTGGTAAACCCGTTAAAACGCTACCATATTGCTGACGTCAAATTAATAATACAAACATTACATAATATCTTGAAGGGAGTCTCCGACATCTTATGTTATATATATATATATAGTTGGCCAATCAAATTTCTTTTACGTGTAAGGTACAGTAAAAACACATTATGTAATATATATCGGCATTTTTGATAATTACAAATAAATAATCAATTTTTTTGGATAGCATAATTCTGATGCTTGATGAATGATGAAACTTTCGTAATAACTAAAACCTTTCAAGCAATTTCTGAATAACGAATTGATGAAAACAAGAAACCTATAAAGATTGATGAAACACAAGACTATTATTCTTTCCTTTCATAACGAAATAAATTATCTATGTGAAGTAAATTTATTCATTATCATATATCCATGCTACCCTGATGTTGATCATACCCGTCCAATTTAGTATGTCACAGGATTCTGTTTAGATTAATCATACAAGGTTAACCGGGGTAAAATCGCCACCCAAAAAAGTTTCGAAAAACATCAATTCATCATGATTAAGATTATGATAATAATAATTAATAAAGTATTAATTGATTCAGGATTCTTCAAAATGTAAAACAATCGTTGCAATTTTTTAAAAACATAAAATCAAATGACACAATATTCTAAAAAAACACGCTGTTCATCGTTACCAAATTTCCACTAATGATAAATGAAAAAAGAAATAAAATAATAAAATAATCTTATATAGATTTTATTTTGAATGATAAATTATTGAAGAAAACATGATTAATCCAAATAGCAACAAATGGGTCGATAATAAAAATTTTGAGCCATTGCATGAATTGAAGGAGGATTATAATAATTTTAAAAGGCAATGGAATATTCCAAATACTAGAAAAGTCGTAATAATAATACTTTATGACTGTAATAAAATATTACGTTTATTGGGTTTATTTGAAAAAATAAAATGATTTAATTTATTGCTTATCGTTATTATTTTTTAGTCTGCAAATTTTTTGTTCAAGTTATGTAAATGACTTTTTTGGTGCAAAACAACATATTTATCACGTGATGATCGAAACTTTTTTGGGTGGTGATTTTACCCCGGTCTACAAGGTTCGTAGATTCTCTTTAACGGCGTGATCTGCAAAATTTTGGCCCACATTATATAATTGTTTACTAATTTCTGGCTGGAATTAACATTGATTTTTTTATTACAAAAATAGAAATTTTTGGTAAGTTTACCAAAATGGTGAGTTACCGGTAAGTTACTGAAAGTTACCGTGAAAGTAATCTATGCTTTATTCCGAAAGTCTTCATCTTCATGTCCGTTAATTGCCTATTTTCCGATAATGTTCGGATTTTCAAATGAGGTAATCTACCGTAATTTACCACGGTAAGTTTACCACTAACAACCCTGCTCGCACTGTGGTAAAATTGGCCCAGGAACAATTTCACTTAATAGGTGGCTGTGATTTCATTAGTAAAATCCTGGTAATTCCGGCCTAATTTTTTGAGCGCTGTTCTTAGTCGAAAATCCACCGTGAAATTTTGTAGCGGCAGCTAGTGTTAATGGTTTGCAATATGTCTCAGAATTAACTATAGTAATAGGTGCCGCACGATTTTGATTGGTTATCGGCCAGGATCTTCAAAATTTTGGCCCACATTACAAGATTGTTTACTAATTTCCAGGAATTAACTTTTTAAACAAAAATAGAAATTCTTAAAAAATAAGCCCGCATTATGGTAAATTGGCTCGGGAACAATTTTCACTTAATGGGCGGTAATGATGGGTGAAGCAACCATGTGATGCTAATTGTCACATGCTACTACTTATAAAAAGACTTAATATAATTTTAATTATAAAGAAAAGCGCAAATTTCTAAATGATTCATACAAATATTTTTCTAATTTCTTTCAATTGAAAAACGCTGCATCAGAACTATTATAACTATGTTTGATTTTTCGTAAAGTTCTAATTAAAAATTGTACTTGGCATTTAAGATAATTTTTTTCGCGTCAATTAATGAAATCTAAAACATTCTACAAAACAAATGGGATCTTTGCTAGTAAAATGACCCTATGAGCCATTGTTACACGAGATTTTTATTAAGAAAAACATAATAAATCTATTTTTAGAAAAAAAAATCCTAGCAAAGATCCCAAATACCCAAACTTACATATTAATAAAAAATCACGAAACATAGCTTTATTCTTAGACAACTTGTGAAAGCATCAAAGGTAGTTTGATGTCTTGGTAATAAGTTGAATCATTTAGAATATCGCTTAATAATAATAATATATCATTGAAAATTGATCTTCATTTAAAAATATGAAAAAATCTGCAATACAGTATACAGAATTCTATAGACCCCTGACATAATTTTGATTACTTAGTCAATTTATCACCCTAGTACGTACGTACGTGTTATTTTTATATTCTGATTAATTTTGGAACTCTAAACTTCAAAATGAAAAGCGAATCGTTTGATTTTACAACTGAACCAGATTTAAAGATGAATTATGTTAACTCACTAAACTTTAATGATATACTATTTTGTATGTGTACCACACGCAAGGTAAGCTAATACACATTCATTTTAAAGCATATATTAAAATTTATCACACGATATCACTTATGGTGTACATACCTTTAGATATAGGCTGCCTTCAATAGAGATCAAGCAGATTAGCATTTTTTAAAAGAATTAATCCCTTAACTTTTATAACTTATACAATGATTCGATGAATTCTGAGGTTATCTTGATGAATTAATATTCAAAAGAAAGCTTAAGATCTGGAATATTAATTTATTAAGATAGCTCAAAATTCATCGAGAAATAGATGTGAAAGATAAGGGATTAATTTTTTTAAAATGTTAATCTGCTTGATTTTTACTGACGACAGTCCGTATAGAGAACTCTATGTCAAACGTTGAGTATTCATACTCCTTTTTTAAATTTATGCAATCCTCATTTTCTTAATTTATATAATACTAGGGCTACAACAGGACTTTGCCTCAGCATGCTTAATTATTTCTGGATCACCATCGTTAGTCATATTTTGGGTCATGATCTTGTGGAACGTTCCTGCAAGTTCTTTGTATGCAATTATATATCTTGAACTATCTAATTTCTTTATTGCAGCATAATGATAGTTGTGGCTTTAAAAAAAAATATAACCAAAAAAAATAAAGAACGAAATAGATAAAAATAAACAAATCAATTAAATGGACAAAGATTCAAAAAATCCAAAATTTTCATTAAATTGACGAGCTTTTCAAAATCAATTCTATTTTCTTATTAGCATTGGCTTATGCAGCCGAAGACTCGCAGCAACTTGTATAAAATGCTTAGTTAGCATAATTTCATCGATGGCATGAACATATTGACATTTTAATGTTTCTTTATCGGCATTTTTTGGAAGATATTCTGTTGCAATATCTGCCATATTTTGTAGTAATTGTCCATAGGAACTGTTAGATCCAGTAAACATGATTGTATAAAGATACAAATATGTGCTATTATATGTTATAGCCGTTCTAAATTAGTTTTTTTCCATTTTGCATAGTTAACTATCATGAGAATATTATATTTACCTCCTATCTTTTTCTCTTTGGCAAAGGCTTCGTAGCTCTGATTCTGGAGAATCAGCTTCACCGTCTGATAAAAAAATAATTATATTGGTTCTATACAAGAAGTTGTTAAATTTGTTAAAGCTATTAAATGATTTAACTTTATTTATGTCAATATTTGTTGCATAATTTTACCTTGAAGGATCATAGTGAGTTTCAATAACTTCAGCAGCCTTTTTCATTCCAAAATTATAATCGGTTCCACCAGTTGTATTATGACCTAACATTATCTGTAAAAGATCATCCGGATTTGACAAACTTCTATTTTCAAAAGCAGTTATTGCATTGGATTCAAAAAGAATTAAAGAAGCCGTATCTTTGTCAACTGCCATTTGTCCAGTAGGTGTTGCTTTTCTTGAGTTCTTTCTAGTTTCTATGAATGTATAAATTGCCTCATAAACCGCTCCTAATCGATTATTATGTGTATTCCGTAAGTGGGATATTTTACTATTATTACATTGAGGTCGACAGTCTTCAGTACTCATCGAACCACTTCGATCCACAACAAATACAATATGAAAATTACCAACATTAGTAGTTGGATTTTCACATAAAAACTAAAAAATTACAATCAAATTAGTATTTCGTACGTACGTACCTAAATAAGTAAACCATGAATATTTGACATTTGAAATGCTTGCCTGATGACCGTCAGTTGAAATATAGCCTACACCACCTGGAGGCTTAGAACTTGCATTTAAAGGAGGATGAAAAATTTCTTGCGTACAGTAAGATTTTGCCGGTTCTTTCCCAGAAAACTCGTCAACTTTATGATGCTTTTCATCAGCACATTCATGATCACATTTTCTAAATTCTTCTCTATCATCCTTAGAGTATGGGTCTACAATTTAATTATAATATTAATTAGTCTAAATCATTAATATTTTGATCTTCCTTTAAAAAATACCTTGAAATTTGGTTCGCTCCCAAAACACGCGATGGGAAATATAATCTTTCTTTTTTGATGGGTTAGGACCAATATTTGCTGTTTCGTAATAAAATCTTCAACAATTAAATCAAAGCTTTATATCCTATTTAAATGATTATAAATATATATACCATTTATATGTTCTAACAAGCCTTCCTTTTTTCCACCACCAGGGCCTTCACAAACGGCAGGATCTTTGCAATAATCTATATGACGGTGACGGCCAATATTTTCGCATAACTTGAAAGAAATTTATTTAATGATTTTGATAAACGCTTTCATAATAATTAACAATACATAAATTTGAGCATACTTTATGACATAAAACAAAATCTCCTCTGTCTCCAACATTTAATTGATGGCCTATTAAAAATAAACAGTTATAATCAATTTTAATTTTGTATTATATTTAATTGAAGTATTATACCTTCGAATTCAAACTCATCATCTTCGCAAGTAAATGTTGTTAAAAGCATATTTCCATGAACAGTTGCTAAATAAAATGAGAATTAAATAATTATAGAGATGGTTGTAAAGTCTTTATAAATAGATATCATCGTTATAATTACAATGTTCAGTATTGTGTTTTTTGCCGTGATCATATGGTAAGATACACTAAAAATTGAAAGCTTGGAATCATATAATCTGTCAAGAGAAGGCAAAAATTGTCGTAATCAACCAAATCAAACTTACATAATATGCACAATTTGGGCATTTTTCATCACAATAGTGGAAATTTTGCTTCCCTTCTTCTTCACTAATATGTTTACCTTCATCGTCTGGACATGTTGAGTCACACACATGAGCTTTTTTTATTTCATGAACATGCTTTCCATAATGTTCAAATGTATATGGCGGAATTTTCACACAACATGGTAACCTTTGGAAAGTTTGCGAATACTGAAAGCAATCATATAAGAATTACTAAAAAAAAATTAAATTTATTACAATGAAAATATATCACCTTTGTAAACATAAAACTTCCAAATCTGAAAATGAAAAAAAAGAATTGGTTATAAAGTTCCAAATCTTATTATAAAGTTATTTGAAAGTACTTACTTATTCACATATTCGGCTTCTTCTTTAATCATAGCGGATGGTTCAGTTACAATTTTGCATATACCTTTTTCTTCACATTCTTTAGGGCATTGGTGTTCATTTCTAGTTAAGTGGATTTACTAATTACAAATAATCGAAAGCATAATACACTATATCCATATACAGTATGCATGCTTACCCGCAAAAATGATTCACATTTTCTTCCAGTGCATGAAAATGTTCTGAACTTTCACAACGTTGTCGACAATTTTCTATCGGGCATTCGATTGGACATACTTCATTTTGACATTTATGAATTTTATGCTCCTCTTCGCATGGAATCTAATCGTACATTATAGGAAATAAAAAGGTTTACCATTATGATTTATAAAAATAAATTTATTAAGAAAATAATACTATATTTACAATGCATGTATTTCGACATTCATATTTGCCCTTCTGCGTTTTTGCTTTTAATGAACATGGTAAACCACAATAATGTCTTGTTGATTCACATAAATGGGTCTCATTTCCACTAACATATTGATGTCCAACATCTTTTGCACATGAGTTTTGACAATTTCTTTTTCCAGTATGAATACAAGGTGCACCACAAGCATGTGAAAGTGGACATCTATGCTTCCCTTGATGTGCAGCGAAATTTTGGCATTGTGGAAGGATTTCATCAGTATGCGCTGTTTCAAACTCACACAGTTGGTGGCATAGATGATCTGTTAAGCAATCGTGATTGATGTTATCTTTATTATCGTCATGACGACTAGCTTTAAGACATGCATATCCACATTTATCGCAACGAAGACGACAGGCGTTCCAGAATAAGCTGAGACGGCTAACTTCTTGGTCTAAAGCATAATTTGCAATAACAATTTCGTTATGATATTGAGAAAATCTTGAAAGATTTCTTGTGTACCATTCTCGAACTCTATTTATACGACGAGTTACGATTAGTTTGAAAAATTTATCTAAATGGTCTATCCACTCAGAATCAGGAATGGATCCACGAGCATAAACATTTTTTTCGAAAAATTCCCTTAGGCCTGCATTATTAGTCATAAAGAATTACAAATTATAAATTTACTTTTCTTGTTTTATTTAAAATAAAAAAAAAACAAACCAAAAAAGCTGGAAACTACACACCAGAAGAGATTTCGACAAAATCTCCTTTATCTTTTAACAATCCGAGACCAGTATCAGGCATCAATTTAATGGAAGAATCTACATGATCGAAAGTATCTGAAAGTGAAATATCATCATCTGGTATCGGAATTTTATCATCACGACTCTGAATTAATAATGATCGATTAAGTATAATAGTGGATTTGTATAAAATACGTGTATTATAGCAATATTGATAATTTACCATAAGGCATTTAATTTGATTAACATCATGGTTTTCTTGATCAGAAAATGGATCATCATCTTCTTGCTCATAACCAAGAGATATTGCATTTCCGAGAAACTTCTTCAATTCTAATGTTCTCATAGTTATTAATGTTGCCTTAATACTTCCCCAATCACATATCCTATTAATAATTATACATAGAATAAATAGCAAATGAATAATTTATTTTTTAATAACTACTGCAAATTTTTTATTACACTTACTTCAACTTTGTCATTAAAACCTTTAGAGCATATATATTATTTGAATTAGTTTCATATTTTCAGATAAATGCAAAGTAATCTCTGTACCTTGATTTTTTCTACAAACATCTGAGCATTTTTATATTGGGATTCTTGTGAATCCAATTTAACTTTGAACGTTTTAATAGAAGTATAAAACGCAGCTTCTGTAAATACTGGCCAAGGAAGAATCGACATTTTATTACGGTAAAGTTTTGTTATAAAATTGTCTTCTTCCTCCTTAAATTTAAATAAAGTAGTAAGCATTTTATTTCTATTGAATTAATATATGTAAATAGAAATATTTAAAATTTTACCTTATCAACGATTCTCGAAAACTTTGACTGAAACTCGGTTACAATATCACTTCTATCACTTTTTGCAACATCTTTGATAACAATACAGAAACGTGCCTTTCAACAAACAAATAAATAACATGTCAATGCTATAAAGGTATTCTCTTATTTTGTGCGGATGTAGATGTAGCTATTTTGTATACCTGAAAAATGTCAGAATCATCTCCAAAATAATTAGTTCCATCTTGGAAACGTTGGAACATAGAAGAAATATCTCGGCTAACTGCAAATTGGCTTTTGAAGAGCACAAGGTTTGAAAGTGCGGCATTCAAAAGTTGCAAAAATGTTTCTTCTTGTGCTGATCTCTCAATGCTTGCTAATCCTATAACAGATAAGGGTTATAGATGTTAAAGTGCCTTTTGTACAGTATAATTCTGTCACATTAACTGAATTTATAACATGCCTTCGAAATCAAGTGCGACATAAAGAATATCATTTGATTTAACTTTAAAATAGAATAAATATTAGCTTTCTTTAACTAAGTTTATGCCAGATGATTAAGCATAGCATGATTAAATTACCTAGTGACATCCACACGCCCTCTGTGCAGCGCTAGAAGTACAGTATAACATATGTTATCAAGTTTGTACTTTTTTATGTACAGTAGATATAAATTTTTATTAAACAAACCATTGCAGATCCGTCAAAAGTTGAACCAATAACATGATTTAGTAAATAACTCTTTCCTATATTTCGGTGTTAAGAAAAGTCAGAGACATAGTATAAACTTTTGCACTGATTTTAAAACCATTTAACAATATAAACTTACAAAACCGTTAGCAGCTTATTTTTAGTTTGAG